TGGTCGGTTATAGGTTAAATGGTGAGTTGTAGGTTATAGATTAAATGGTGAATGGTCGGTTATAGGTTAAATGTGACCGGTAGGTTATAGGTTGAATGGTGACTTGTAGGTTATAGGTTAAATGGTGACTGGTAGGTTATAGGTTAAATGGTGACTGGTAGGTTATAGGTTAAATTGTGACTTGTAGGTTATAGGTTAAATGGTGAGTGGTCGGTTATAGGTTAAATTGTGACTTGTAGGTTATAGGTTAAATGGTGACTCGTAGGTTATAGGTTAAATGGTGACTGGTAGGTTATAGGTTAAATGGTGACTCGTAGGTTATATGTTAAATGGTGACTGTGTAGGTTATAGGTTAAATGGTGACAGATGGGTTATAAGTTAAATGGTGACTGTGTAGGTTATAGGTTAAATGGTGAGTGGTAGGTTTTAGGTTAAATGGTGACTGTGTGGGTTATAGGTTAAATGGTGACTGGTAGGTTATAGGTTAAATGGTGACTGGTAGGTTATAGGTTAAATGGTGACTCGTAGGTTATAGGTTAAATGGTGACTGTGTAGGTTATAGGTTAAATGGTGACTGTGTGGGTTATAGGTTAAATGGTGACTGGTAGGTTATAAGTTAAATGGTGACTGGTAGGTTATAGGTTAAATGGTGACAGATGGGTTATAAGTTAAATGGTGACTGTGTAGGTTATAGGTTAAATGGTGAGTGGTAGGTTTTAGGTTAAATGGTGACTGTGTAGGTTATAGGTTAAATGGTGACTCGTAGGTTATAGGTTAAATGGTGACTGTGTAGGTTATAGGTTAAATGGTGACAGATGGGTTATAAGTTAAATGGTGACTGTGTAGGTTATAGGTTAAATGGTGAGTGGTAGGTTTTAGGTTAAATGGTGACTGTGTAGGTTATAGGTTAAATGGTGAGTGGTAGGTTTTAGGTTAAATGGTGACTGGTAGGTTATAAGTTAAATGGTGACTGGTAGGTTATAGGTTAAATGGTGACAGATGGGTTATAAGTTAAATGGTGACTGTGTAGGTTATAGGTTAAATGGTGAGTGGTAGGTTTTAGGTTAAATGGTGACTGTGTAGGTTATAGGTTAAATGGTGACTCGTAGGTTATAGGTTAAATGGTGACTGTGTAGGTTATAGGTTAAATGGTGACAGATGGGTTATAAGTTAAATGGTGACTGTGTAGGTTATAGGTTAAATGGTGAGTGGTAGGTTTTAGGTTAAATGGTGACTGTGTGGGTTATAGGTTAAATGGTGACTGGTAGGTTATAGGTTAAATGGTGACTGGTAGGTTATAGGTTAAATGGTGACAGATGGGTTATAAGTTAAATGGTGACTGTGTAGGTTATAGGTTAAATGGTGAGTGGTAGGTTTTAGGTTAAATGGTGACTGTGTAGGTTATAGGTTAAATGGTGACTCGTAGGTTATAGGTTAAATGGTGACTGTGTAGGTTATAGGTTAAATTGTGACTGTGTAGGTTATAGGTTAAATGGTGACTCGTAGGTTATAGGTTAAATGGTGACTGTGTAGGTTATAGGTTAAATGGTGACTGTGTGGGTTATAGGTTAAATGGTGACTGGTAGGTTATAGGTTAAATGGTGACTGGTAGGTTATAGGTTAAATGGTGACAGATGGGTTATAAGTTAAATGGTGACTGTGTAGGTTATAGGTTAAATGGTGAGTGGTAGGTTTTAGGTTAAATGGTGACTGTGTAGGTTTTAGGTTAAATGGTGACTCGTAGGTTATAGGTTAAATGGTGACTGTGTAGGTTATAGGTTAAATGGTGACAGATGGGTTATAAGTTAAATGGTGACTGTGTAGGTTATAGGTTAAATGGTGAGTGGTAGGTTTTAGGTTAAATGGTGACTGTGTAGGTTATAGGTTAAATGGTGACTTGTAGGTTATAGGTTAAATGGTGACTGTGTAGGTTATAGGTTAAATGGTGACAGATGGGTTATAAGTTAAATGGTGACTGTGTAGGTTATAGGTTAAATGGTGAGTGGTAGGTTTTAGGTTAAATGGTGACTGTGTGGGTTATAGGTTAAATGGTGACTGGTAGGTTATGGGTTAAATGGTGACTGGTAGATTATAGGTTAAATGGTGACAGATGGGTTATAAGTTAAATGGTGACTGTGTAGGTTATAGGTTAAATGGTGAGTGTAGGTTTTAGGTTAAATGGTGACTGTGTGGGTTATAGGTTAAATGGTGACTGGTAGGTTATAGGTTAAATGGTGACTGGTAGGTTATAGGTTAAATGGTGACAGATGGGTTATAAGTTAAATGGTGACTGTGTAGGTTATAGGTTAAATGGTGAGTGGTAGGTTTTAGGTTAAATGGTGACTGTGTGGGTTATAGGTTAAATGGTGACTGGTAGGTTATGGGTTAAATGGTGACTGGTAGGTTATAGGTTAAATGGTGACTGTGTGGGTTATAGGTTAAATGGTGACTGGTAGGTTAGAGGTAAATGGCTATTTCAATTAGGGAAACATGTTATTATACGCTGTTTGATACAGCCTGTTATACAAAGCAAGCCCTTACAACCACCACCCCACCCTTCCCACCCACCCCCTCCCCTCTCAGAACCCGAACCCGACATGTATCTTATTTGACAATAAACATACACGAATAAATAATATTTTCGTTGTTCTATACAGCAACCTTCTAGTTTTCCCCCTCCTCGTTTGATTAGTTTTCACTCCCTTCCTTTCCCCCCCCCCTCTTTTATTTAATTTACCTTCATATTATTTTTATTTTACGAATAAAAAATTTGAATTAAAAAAAAAAATATTTTTAAAACGCAAGTAATTGTATACTCAATTTGAATATAAACTATGAAACAATGTCAAAATATATCTTGATAGCACGTGACTGTCCCCACCCCTACATACATCCCCAGACATACGGTGTTACTACTTTTGTATGCCCAGCTTTTCTATAATCTGTGTGGTAGTAAAAAAAAATCTATTTTTAAATCTCGACAGGTTGCCTATAATTTAGATAGACTCCTATAAATCCTTTTTATATAATATATGTTTGTTGCAAAAACTATGTAGGTCTAAATTTTAGCTTTTCTAGACTATAGATCTTTAGTATATAATCTGTGCTTGTTGCAAAAATACTGTTTCTATAAGTCTCATTACGTAGGTCTAAATTTAAACTAATCCATACTACTCTAGATACTTTGTAGATACAGTGTAGCAAAAATAATTTATTTTTGAAGTCTTATTAAGTCTAACTTTAAGCTAGTCGAGACTGCTCTAGATACTTCGTATATAATTTGTTTTTGTTGTAATACAATGTATGCTAAAAGTCTTATTATGTACGTCCAAATTTAAGCTACACTACATAATTCTTATATAATCTGTTTAGCTGTACAAACAATCTATTTTAGAAGTTTTATTATGGATACAAGATGCACACCGCTCTAGACTCCTGTATATCTAGATGCTTTTTATATTAATTGTTTAGTTGTATAATTTTTTAAAAAATAACCTATTCTATAAGCCTCATGATAAGCATCTAGACTACTGTAGATCTAGATGCTTTTTGTTAAGTAACACTTGTTTAGTTGATTTTTTTTTCTATTCTATAAGTCTCATGATGTGTCCAACATTCAAGCCGCCCTAGACTCCTATAGACCTAGATTATTCTCATATAATTTGTTAAGTTCTATAAAAAGATCAATTCTATAAGCCTCGTGATGTCGCCAACATGCATGACGCCCTAGACCGGTAAAATCCAAACGTGGGAGATAAAGCAGACGATATATGTCCGTCCTAACAGTCACGCGCGGTCAATTTGCGAACACATTTTGATTACAGCTGACGTTACACCTGAGATTACACCCGACATTACATCTGCCTCTCGTCCAGAAAGTTGGTGCGAACGTGATCCGTTACCCCTATCTGTATCCCATGACCCCGTCTCCACGCTGCGAATATTTTCTCAATGTCTCCGAATTCACCCATCCGTACCGATTCGTTTGGCCGCCACACACCCACGGGGGTTTGGTGAGGGGGGAGGGGGTACACGTCACGTGACTCCCACCCCCACGACTTCCCCGCATCTGATTGGCTGGCGCGTCCGGCTGTCATGCGACCAGCAGACGCAGGCCGTGTTGGTGAAGCTCTCCAGCCCGGGAAAGGGAGAGAAAAAAACGTCACAAAACAAAACAAAATGGCGGGGCCGTTCGCCTGTAATTTATTGGTCCTATCGTGGTAATCTGTTGTGGGTGGATACTACCGGCACTTGCTGTCATGGCGGTCAAACCACCAACCCAGAGAACCTAAAGACGCTAACTCTTCATCGTGATTACATTTTAATCTGCTCAAATTCCCGGATTCATCCTCGAAGTTTTAGCACGCTATTTCTTAATTACCGTATTAAAAAATCACCGTAAATAATAACAAAAGTTATAAATTTCATCACCTTCGTTATTTTCTGATGAAGTTCGGTTGGATTTTTTATCCCCATCAAGAGATAACTCTAGGATAATTCTAGAGTTGCCTGCTCCTGACTCCCAAGAAGACGATCGCGGTCTGAGCGCAGTTCATCCGCCGTGTGTGCCCGCACTGACCATCGCGTCGGACCATTATGGTGATTGTTATGGCCGCGGACGGACATTCCCTCGGACATTTATAGCCGTCGGAGTTTAATACCTCAAGACATTACGGCGTAAAGAGATATTGTGTAACAATTATTACAATGTTTCTTTAATTACACATCAACAAGATTGTGTATCAACTGCGGTGTTTTTATTTTTAGATTTTATTTATTTATTGATTTCCTCAAATGTGTGATTAGATAGGTTGTGTTTTCTAAAACTGGAAAAGGAATTCGTATTCAATAACAACTGGTAATATAACAATTTATTATTATTTATATATGAATATAAACTTAGAAAAATTTTCAACATTTTTTTTTCTAGAATGGTTTGAATTGAAGAATTCTCGTGTAGAAAAAGAACGACATAGTAGACTTAGAGTTACGGGACGAAAATGAGAATGAGTTCATATTACACAAACCTCCTACCCCCACCTGGTACCATGTCCCCCAACTCCATGTCTAGCGGACTAGGGGGAGGCTGTAGCCTGAACAACGACGCCGGCAATATCGGTATGGCGTCAGCTGATATCTACAGCGACCACGGCTCTAAGTATGACTACATGAGCTCTTCGATGTTGGGTTCGAATCCCAACAACAACCAGGGCGTGATGGGGTATGAGAGTTGTTCGCCGACCTACTCGCCGTCGTATATGAGGTATCCTTATGAAAGTAGAAGTGAGAATCGAACCCCTTTGCCTCAGGAGAACATTAAACACATGGAGCCGCAGCTGGTGCTACAACCGCCTGTTGCTCACCAACTGCACCTGCAGCATCAACCCGAGGAGCAACAGCAGCACCCACACCTCACCCTGCACCATGATCACCACATGGACAGTCCCCATCTGGACGGTCACCACCTGGAGAATCACCACCTGGATCAGCCACCACATCTACAGCACCAACAACCGTGCCAGCAGCAGCAGCACCCGCACGCCATCACCCCACCCACGGCACACCAGTATCCACCGTATCCGATGAACGGCATCCACCATCCAGGAAATCCATCAGAACTCTACTACGAGAACCGAATGCTGGACTGTAAGGGTGGGCCCCCTGATATGTGTGGGCCCCCGCATATGCCCTCCTACTACTATCCACAACAATCCATGCCAGATCCAAGCATCTCTCCCAATGGATACAATCCAGGCATGCCTAATCCAGCATGCATGTCGGGGATGAACTCTCCGAATATGCCAGTGTATCCGTGGATGAGACAGGCAAATAATGGTAAGCAACGTTCAACTTTTATCCATTCTGATCACGCTTTTTAAAGACTAACATGTCTCTTGCAAATAAATCCCCCCCCCCCCTCCAAAAAAAAGCCAAAACAATAAAGAGTTAAATTAATTCACTAATTTACAAAAGCCTTGGTCATAAATTAGAAATATATTTTAAACCAATTCATAAGAACTTCATTAGTGCATCTGTTAAGCACGGGTCAAAATAATAGCTCCTAAAAATAATTTCTGACCGAACCAATCACCACTTTGATTACAAGTCTCATTAAAATTACGCCATAACTTAATTATATTTACAATAACACATCTTGTTTTATGAACGTCAATAAAATAAATATATTACAAAAAATTACTCGTTAAAAATAAAAGTGTTTTATATTACTGCAGACTCATAAATGTTTCAGAAATAGTAAATCCTGATCTAGAATTTTACATCATAGTAATACAGTCTAATCACTACACAAAAATCTATTTTAAAAACGTTTCTGTCAAACAAGTATGTAAATACATTATGATAATACATTTTAAAATTATTAGTATTTAATTACTGAATCAATTTGTTTGAAAAATGTTTTTCATTATTTTAACAATTGTTTATGAAAACAATATTCTTGGCATTTTATAAGTACTATAGCTTCCTTATAAAATACCAAGAAATATGTTTTCATAAATAATTGTTTAAATTGTTAAAATTATTAATAATTTTGTTCAACTAAAGTCCAAAGTTTTACAAAGGACTCTTTGTACAACTTTCGACTTTGTGTCACTGAAAAGCGGATTACATTAAAAATTTGATGTCACTCTTTTCCCACCAGTTAAAATTACATGAACATTTTATAACGAAATGATAAACACCGATTTTGTGAATAAATTGGTATAAACACACAATGTATACTCCATTACAATTAAGATCATTGTTAATAATTACTAGAGTTATAATGTTTAATTAACTAGACAAATAAGCGGTCCACTTTTAAAATATGTAGCTAATCTGTTAAATAAATATACCTTGTATTTAAAAATACATCCTATTTCGTGTTAAAAAATATAACGTTTAGCGGAACAAAACATACAATAAAATTGCTTACTTAACTGTTTCAAATACCTTCGCTTCTTAATTTTCTTACTTAAAATGCAATTTCAAGACACTAATGGGTTCTTAAACATTTTTTAAAAGTAATTAAGCAACATCAATTTTGTTTTTTAAAACATGTAATTTTATTTGTTGTAAACCATACATAGTTAAAGACGAAGGATGAAAAGAATGTCCTTGTCTGTGTTTTTGTTTGTATTGATGTTACAGTTACATTATGGAAGAGACACAATCGAAACGGAATTATATTGTAAACCACCTTTTAAGAAATCACACCTATAAGAGAAATGAAATCCACATTTATGGAGATGTATTGTGTAGACTACTCTATCATCGCTTAGTGCTTTTGTACCTTCAAGAATTATTAGCTCCACGTTTAGAAGGGCTGTACCTAGTAGAAAATTAAAATACACATGTAGGAAAATGTATCTAGATCATAATTATATAATTAAATCGCATTAAGGAGGGTATAGCAAGTAGAAAGTATTATCCACGGGGGGGGGGGGGGGATCTACTATGTACGTGGTATCAAATGAACCCAAGTTTTAGGAGGGCGAGATGTAATACAACACAAGTGTTGTGATTTGTGGCAATAAAATACGAATTTAATCATATCTTGTTTATTGCTATTTTTTTTTCTAACGGTATTAAATGCATGAAGTCGAAGATCCCCTATTTAACATCTTGATTCAAGATAATATTTTTTTTTTTAACCCACGATGTTTGATTGCGTTTTTACTCCCCCGCCCCATATCTCACACCCATTCATGATTCTAGAACATCCTCTGCCCCACCCGCCCTTTTTTTTTCTCTTTTGTCTTCCGTCCCTTGCAACTTTCCGAGATGAATTCCGAGCCTCTTTTCAACACAGTGTATTTGAAAAACATTTTGGGCTCACGATTAACATGCACTGAATCTAATACACAGATTCGGGTATTCCCAAACAACTAGGGCACGACGACATGTAATACGAGATTAAAATCTATAAATATCCCGCGGTTCTACTCTTTGTGAAAGAAGTTTAATTTTTAAAATCAATTCTGTCTATCGCAGTACATTCCGTCCATGTTTTTAAAAAAAAGTATAAATAACTATAGCACCTTCTTTGGTAAAAGTATTGTAAAACCAAAAGTGAATTCTGGTAATCAGGAGTAATTAATGTGGTGGTGTAATTAAAGTTGAGTCATTCCAATCCAAATGTTGACAAAATACACAAGAAAAGGAAAATACCCTTAATTACAAACTCAGCATGTTCATCTTGAAGATTGTCGCCAAAAATGGGCTAAGGATATATAAATTACCCATACCCTACTTTTTGCGACTATTTTCAAAAAACTTTTTAAAAAAGCATTACAATATTTTTTTAATTATTATCTTTAAAAATATACTAACATTATACAAATCGTATTAATTTTTTTTTATTCTAACGAATTCTTAATTTTACATTTTTAGAATATTTGTTTCGTACGGTTTTTATAATTCGTCTATTTCTTTGTAATTTTTTTTTTATTGAATAAAGTAGCATTTGTTTGTTGAAGTCTGCGAAATGTTCCTGACAGTCAGGTGTTGATGGACAAAGGAAACGTTGACCACACCGTAGACTGGTCAAGCTGACCTATGGGTCTCGCTCCGCCGGGTCCAGGACTTCCGTGATTTAATGTTCTCGCAGCTAGGCGATACGGGGAGGGGGGGGATATTAAGATAAGATGACGAACACACAGCCGAGGTTTTGTTCGGATCTTGGAGCAGGGGAGGCTCTCCACATCCGAACATATGTCGCGTTACAACGCCGGCATACAAGGTCGCTTTTATAAGCAGATTATCTGAAGCTTCCGTAAGTCAACGGGGCGTGACGCTTAAATACTTGGGATCAGAAGTTGGTTTTTTGTCGTCGGGTAAAGCTTCGTGATGATGTTGTAGTCGTCTGTTAGTGGTTTAGTGAGGCTTATTTGTTTCTTAGGTTGTGGGCGGTTTAGTAAGGCTTACTTTTTTCTTAGGTTGCGGTCCCGGTGTTTACAATTTCAAATCTCTTTAAGCTGCAGATATAAAACACAGTTATAAAATTTATTGTGTTCATTGGTGCGTAGCCACTACACCTTAGTTGCTTGTTCGACTTGCTTTTTGGGTCGGTGTGGGGGTAAAGATCAATGATCCCTGTAAGCTGCGCGGCATGCATTAGTTCTGAACCAGTCGCGAAGTCATTTTGTAAAATACATACTTCCGTAAGTAAAACGACATACATACTTATGTAAGACGTTTAGAACTCCGCGCACTCAAAATACACGTTACAAGCTAGTTTTTTTCTACTTAGAGGGAAAGTTGGTGAGGAAGGATGATGTTAGCTGTTGGGTTGTTAAAGGGTGTGTGGTTAAAATGATACCGTTAAATACGAAGGGTGGTGTGGTTGGAAAGAAATAAAGTAACAGAGTCGTAGCGAGGGGGGTGTGGTGGGACATATATCCCCGGGCGCCGACCTTAGGGGGGGGGGCGCCAAAATGGGTTTGAAAAACAAATTGAAAGTTTGAGGGGGGGGTGCAAATCGAAAGTTCGAGAGGGGGGTGCAAATCGAAAGTTTGAGGAGGGGTGCAAATCGAAAGTTTGTCCCCGGGCGCCGGGAAGGGTTGCAACGCCTCTGTAAAGCAAACGTTTCAAATTAAAGAGCTCAGATCAGTGTATATAAAACTAAAAGCTCAGTATATGAACTGATTGAATTTCAAGAACAATGGCAAACGGACCTTGCTTATATTGTCTTAAGACCAATGTTCCCTCTAAGGGGAAAATGTGCAAAATATATTTTCTGTGTGCGCTGTTATAAAAGTCTTACACGAGGATATATTTATTTTACAAAATCACTGCGTAACCGCGTAGCTTAGAGGGAACATTGCTTAAGACGGGTACTGATTAGTTCTGAGTGAAGCCGAGAATGTCAAGAAGAACCAAGGGAACATATTCTAACTACAAGCACATTTTGAAAGTTTGAAATCAAAGACGTACTCTGAGTGGATTAGTTCAAGTAATTGATGGGATGTTAGAGTTGCATTAGACTATTAAATATACATAGGCAAAAAGATAATGAAAATGCGATTTTTAAGTACTGGTCCCCCCTTGAGTAGGACAATTTATTTTTATAGCATCATTCTCATCAACTTTCAGTTAACGCGCATTAAATTTAAAAAATAAGGTTAAATAATCTCAAATTTCAAAAAATTTAAATTCTAAAAATTCATTTTAATCAAAACTCTTTAAAGTTTTTATACATGGCTTTAATCTTTGAACGGAGTATACGCCCAAAGAATAATAGCTGAAAGAACAGACTGAAGACTTAGAAAGGTTGACTAGTTGTAGTTTAGCAATATGGGTTACTTTTGTTCGTGTAAGTAACTGATGGTTGACTAATATATTCAGTGCAGAAAAGGGTACGTTCAGTATTAAGCAGGGGGATTAGGATTATCCAGTTTAAATTTTGCAAAAGTATTAGCGACAATAAGGCAGATTTTTAAGCTTATTACTAGAATGCTAACAATTCACAAAGAGAGTCAAAAAACATCAAATCACATTAAACATCACGACAATGTCCCGTCTAGTATCACGACAAATGTCCCTTCTAACATCACGACAAATGTCCCGTCTAACATCGCGACAAATGTCCCGTCTAGTATCACGACATCACGACAAATGTCCCGTCTAACATCGCGACAAATGTCCCGTCTAGTATCACGACATCACGACAAATGTCCCGTCTAGCATTACGACAAATGTCCAGTCTATCATCGCGACAAATGTCCCGTCTAACATCGCGACAAATGTCCCGTCTAGTATCACGACAAATGTCCCGTCTAGCATCACGACAAATGCGCCGTCTAGTATAATCAGGACGCGTCGTGATGCGCAAAAAC